CGGTCGGGAAGGGGCCACATAGATCGGTATGTAAGACGGTCCACGGTCGTGAAGGCATTTCTGTCATAGTAAGTGGCTCTGGACGTGACTGAGAGGACTGGGCTTGACAGGAGATACAGGAACGAATTAAATGTTCAATGTCTTTGTCAATTCCAGGCCACCAAACTTTTTCTCGCAAGAGTTGTTTCGTTCGAACAATCCCTTGATGACCTTCATGTGCTAATTGGAGTGTGGCTGATCGTAGACTTTCTGGAACAACAATGCGCGATCCGCGAAGAAGTAAGGACCCTGTCGCCGTCAGTTCGTCTTTAATGCTAAAATAGGGTCCGGATTCCCGGCTCTTTTGCCATTTGCCCGAGACAACTGATTGGTGGACTTGCTGTAGGACAGGGTCTTCTGCAGTGGCCTGCTCAAGTTGGGTAAGGGTCATTGCTTTGGGAACCGCGTTGCGGGTGATGTAATGAACGTACTCTTCCGCAATATTTCGTTCGCGGTGTGCGGCACTCGACAAAGGAAGACGAGACAACACGTCAGCGGGATTGGTGGCGCCAGGAGAATACTGCAGATGGAATGTGTATGGCTGGAGGCGTAATCCCCAGCGCTCTATTCTTGCTGGGGGTTTGGAGGTGGCGCTGTAGATAACCTCAAGCGGTTTGTGATCAGTAAGCAGGGCAAAGGTGGTTCCATATAAGTACAAGTGGAATTTTTCACAGCCCCAGACGACTGCCAGGGCCTCACGTTCCGTCTGAGGATAACGTCGTTCCACCACTGTGAGCGTTCGACTGGCATAGGCGATGGGTCTGACCACACCGTGTTGTGTTTGCGTCAAGATAGCCCCCAGACCAACAGGGCTAGCATCCACACGTAGCTGGGTAGGGGCGGCCGGGTCATAGTGGGCCATAACACAGTCACTTGTTAGTATTGTCCTGAGTTTGTCAAATGAAGACTGATGAATATCGGTCCAGTGCCAGGGCACCTCCTTACGGGTTAGCTCGGAAAGGGGGTAAGCAATGGTGGAAAAATCTGGAATGAATCGTCGACAAAAACTAGCTAGGCCCAGAAAACTGCGAACTTCGGAAGCGTTTTTTGGTGTTGGAGCATTTCGTATAGCTTCAACTGACTGGTTGTTCGGCCGAATGCCACGAGCGGAGATGTCAAAGCCAAAGAATGTAATCTCAGGAGCACTAAACAGGCACTTCTCACTATTTAATGTAAGTCCTCTTTCTTGCAATCGACCAAGTACACCATGGAGATTTCTGTCATGTTCTGCTTTGTCCTTTCCGAAAACTACACTGCATGAAAAGCGCCGTATTCCAAGGTATTCACATGTGAATACGGGTGTGAATAAAACACATATTGCAAGCGTATTCCGACATGGAATATTAGTGTGAATACGGCATCGTATTCTTCAGTATTCTAAGTGTGAATACGCCGTGAATATGCCGCGTATTCTGACCAATATTCACACTTGGAATATCTCACTTCTCATTTAATCCGTGTTTCCACAAAATAAATTCATCAGCTGACATTTTTAAACTTTATTTTGAATGCTGAAAAATTGAAGTGGAATTTTATAAATAATTTGGCGCAAAAACCAAAAAGCGCGCTTTCGAGTTTAATAAACATTGAACGAGGAGATCGTGCGTTTGTGGCTGTAAGAAATCTTTTTGGCGCTTATAAATAAGGGAAGAGAGTGAAGGATGCCAAGGGCTTGGTAAAGTCTGGAAACTCTGGTCGCAGTTAAAGAGCATGCCGGCGAGTATTTGTATGCTACGATTCCCACGAAGTCTGATGAAGAAAATGCGCGAAATAGAAATGAGATTGCATGGCGCGATTTCCACAGCACCTTATGTTCGCTAATACGTGTAAAATGATAACGAATATTAACCGTATTTCAAGGATTTTTTATTGTTCAAAACCGAAAACGCATATACTGTTTGTGCGTAAGGGACCTCTTCGGTGAGTGACTAAATATCGTGCAGTTGAATTCAATAGCCGGCCTATAGACTATACCCTATGACCATGTTGGGAGTAATCTCAACATTTTATTAACAAATTACCTGGTGATAAGAGGTTAATGGGTTATGCGTTCGCAGCCTGTGCGAATGTTTAGGCATTTATTGTCCCTCAAGTCTGTCCATTAAGGAAAATATCAATATGAACAAACATGCATAATCTTTAGGTTGCCATGTTAATTTGCATAGCAGTCATACACATTGCAATGGTAGGTTTATCCACAGTTAATGTGTTTTATCAAGGTTGATCAAATGCAATACTAAGATTTCAGTCAATTATTTAAATTTTATACAGTCCTTAACAGATCATGTACATGTGATGGGTTACAACATTTCACATTTTATAAAATATTATTGGAACATCACAAATTGTTCAAAAATATGTAGCAAAAACACAGCCTATCATGAACTTCTACTAAGCTGTTATGATTTTCAATCTTTCATCAGCTGATTGTTAATTTATAAGCAATGTGTTTTAGTATATATGAAACATTGCTCCTGGAGTATGTCAGAAATTATACTTAATAGTAAATTGTTGAGCAAAGCAAGTGATGTTTTTTCACTTGGTAAGATATTAAAAACTATAGGTGAGCAGATAATGAATCAGGAACTTCTTTCACTGGGTGAAAAATCCTCTTCATCTTTAGCAAAGTTAAGGCCAACTCTTTTGGGAATTTTCTCAATCTTGCAACCCCTGATGGCTAAAAACAATTAAAACCACCTTAAAGCAATTATTGAACAAAATACATAGCAAACTTTCTTAAGCTATAATAGATTATTATCCGAAAGGTTAATGATAATGGTAAAAGCTGATGTTGCATGCATGGCCATTTGTTTTTATTGTTGTGCATAGAATTTATGCAGTGTAATGAAATTATAATATTCCTAGGGAATGTATATGTACAATGTACAATGTACACACCATTCATATAATTTGGAAGCTAATCAATTAGGGTAAAAATGGAAACAAATTCTTCCATGAACTTAAAGCTGTATATACACATAGCTACTCCTAGTATGCAAACATCGAGAAGCTGTAGTAAACTCATCTACACTTTAATGGTATATTCTTTAAGTATTGTGATTATAATTTATGTACGGAAAAGTAATTGCAAACAAATCAGTAAACAGTCTCAGTTATAAATTATGATGAGGGCAATGTTAAAAGGCTTCACTTAAAAACACAGTCTAGCATGAACTTCTAAGCTGTTAAGATTTCTGTCTTTGGGCAGCTGGTTGTTAAGATTCCTATCTTTTGGCAACCAGTTCAATAGCTATTCTGTGGTAAATATTAGTGTAAATATAATTCATATATGCTAAAAGGAAAAATATAGGCCATTATTTTGTTAAAAAATATGTATTATATATAACTAAAAAACACAGTCTGGCTTTGATTTCTAAGCTGTTAAGATTTCTGTCTTTGGGCAGCTGATTGTTAAGATTTCAATCTTTTGGCAATCAATCATTAGCTATTCTGTGACAATTATATAACAATATATATATCTATAATATATAAATTTTGCCTAAAATATAAAAAACCCTCATGAAATGCACCAATGCACCTCATTTCAATGCATCTTGAAACGTCTATCTAAGGGTTATGTTATGTTAAAGTTATGATTACAGCAGCTTTCTGAATATTTGTGGTAGGTAAGAAAGTAATGTCCCTTTTCAGTATTGGCAAACTTTTAAATTTTGTTTGTATTGAGTATGGCTTTGAAATGGCAAACATTTGTACCTACTATAATTAGTGTGTGATGGAGGTAGGATTGATGAAAACCATCATACAATTTATTTATTTACAAGCAGGTACAGTTAGCTGTGTACAAATTAGCTACAATAAACACAATAGTAATCTATTTATATTAATAAAAACAAAAAAAGTGATGAGCCCAGCCGTAAAAGCGTTGGCCTCGCACTATTGTTGTTGTGTTGTGTTGTTTCAGGACTATAGTATGACATAACTCTTGTTATTATTAAATAACTTACTGATTTTAGCGCCGCCACAAGAATTATTTTGGGGCATCGCGAACATATTTAACAATTCAAAGTTGAACAGCTTGAACTTCTGTTGAAACCACGCATTTATATATAAGCGCCCTGGTTGAAACCAATTGACATTTGTGCCATGTTATCGTTTTGTAAACAAAGGGAACTGGACAACTTTTGCGAGGAATCATTTAAAGACATTTATTTGTTATTGTTATACGACCTCCGAATTTCGCCATTTATTCGCAATTTCGCCGCAATTCCTTGGCGCAAAAATTGTCACTAACATGTCGAAGAGGAAATTTCCCAAAGGAAATTTCCTACGATTTCCCAACACTGAACTGTATATATTACGGATGCTTTTGACGATACAGAATCATCAACTTTCTACCCATGCGTTTACGTATCCAAGCAAAAATAAAAGTATTTTTTTATATATAACTTCTTTTACACAGGTAATTAAAGAAATTGATGGATATTTCTCTTTTTATACAGCTTTTTTACGACTTACGAGGCTCTCAGCGCTCATCGACTGAGGATATACGATACTCGACATCCCTGCGGCAGCAAAAAAATTAATCAAATAAAAATCATCGTGCGTTTGGTAACATTTATTGTCTTTATTGTCTGTCGCCTAAACAAATCAAGTGCAATTTCAATTTCTGACCGTGATGAGAAGAAATGCTGGATAACAGTTGACACCGGCATTGAACTGAAACAACCTTTGCCTATTCCGTGGTATATAAACGCATTTCCTGCAATATTTACACAATATAACTCGTTGATTATCCCGTATTCATGCGTACAATCACATTTTCTATGCCGAAGTGTGAATACTAGGTCTTGAAAAATATTCACAGAGTATTCGAAGGTATTCTAGGTCAGAATACGCGGTGTGTTTTATTCACAGGTATTCACATCGGAATACTCCCAATATTCCGAGGATATTCACAGTGAATATCTGTGAATACGTGTGAATATGGACCATATTCGAACTCATATTCGCACGTATTCACCTGTGAATACGCGGTTTTTCATGCAGTGTATAATGTCATCTGAAATGTTTTTGACTCCAGGTAGCCCATGTAAAACTTGTTGAATTGCATGTTGATAGATTTCAGGAGCTGCAGATATACCAAAAAGGAGACGCTTGTACCTATACAAGCCGTCATGGGTGGTAAAGGTGGTCAGTTCTCTGGATTTCTCGTCCAGTTCAATTTGATGATATCCCCACTTCAGATCTAACTTGGAAAATACCGCAGCTCCATTTAAATCCTGTAAGCTCTCTTCAATTGTAGGAATCGGATACCGCTCTCGTATGACAGCCGTGTTTACTTGCCGCATGTCTACACAGACGCAGATTTCGCCACTGGATTTTGGAACGACCACCAGGGGTGAGACCCAGGGGGTTGGGCCACAAACTTTCTCAATTATATCCAGTCTTTCCAGCTCTTCGAGTTTAGCTGAAACTTGCTTTCGGACATGGAACGGAATGCGACGTGGGGGCTGGGCAACAGGTTTAATGTCATGGTTGATGGAAATTTCCTGCTGGTAGTTGGTGAGTTTTCCTACTCCATCAAAGACGCTAGGGTACTTTTGGCGAAGAGATTCGGAGGATACAACGCAATTGACCGAGGATACTTGAGGTCCAATATGCAAGAGTCCCAACTGAGTCGCAGTTTGCTTTCCGAGGAGACAACCAGCATGTTTGTTGTGCACGACTACGAATTTTGCCACGATTTCTGCAGAGTTGCACTTTATCCGACCGGTGATTGTTCCCAAAATATTTAGTGGGGTCGGCGAACCGTATGCATAAATACGAAGATTGGAGGGCATCAATTTGGCACCTGTTTGCGCTTTTAGACGATGATACGTGTCCAGATCGATCACATTAACACTAGCCCCCGAATCGATGAGCATTTGCACAGGAACGTGTTCGAGTTCCAATGTATGAAGCCTGTCCGAGCGCTGTTGAACATTATGAGCAGTAAGAGTAAACAAACATTCATTTTCTGAAGAGTCATCTTCGGACTGTTCGAGCAGTCGAGCATTGTCCCTATCGTTCCTTGGTTTGCCGCTTGTCTGACGACAGACCCGGGCAAAATGACCGAGTTTGCCACAATTTCGACAGGTTTTTCCAAGTGCAGGACATTGGGCATCTTTCGCACGATGCCCTGCGTTTCCACAGCAATAACAAGCACGTTTTTGTCGATTACTGTCTTCCGTCCTCATAGAATTCGGCCGTTGTTGTTGATGAAAGCTCTGTCGCGCAATTGTATTGAGGTGAGACGATGAATCATACTTTTGTTCCATTTCTGCTGCCTGGCGGTCGGCTAGTTCGAACGAACGAGCTATAGCTAACAAATTGTCCAACGTTAGTTCGTGTTCTCGCAGTAAGCGACGACGAAGAGTGTTTGAAGCACATCTTTCGATAACTTGGTCACGAAGCATTTCATCGAGATTTTCACTAAATTGGCACGTTCTGGCAAGGGTTCTCAAGCGAGTTACAAAGGCATCTATGGATTCGTCAGGGCGTTGAGTTGCTTGTCGGAAAACATGTCGCTCGAAAGCTATATTTTTGCACGGGTTGAAATGTTGATTCAGTTTTTCGAGCGCAGTTTTGTAGTCTTCGCCAGTATCCGGCAACGTTTCAAAGATTTCTTGTACATCTGCACCGGCTAAATGAAGTAAGATAGCACGTTTCTGCTTTTGATCAGAGATACCTGAAGCTCGAATATAATAATCTAGTGACTTCGTCCATTTTTCCCAACGTTGTGCCAAGGAGCTCGGGTCAGATACAACAAAGGGCTGAATTTCCGGTAAATCAAGGACCTTTGCCATTGGTATGAGTGTTTGCTAGACTCTAGTACGTTTCTTTTCTTCTTTTTTTTTTGTTTTTTTTTTTTATTATTATTATCCTCGTCGCCAGTTATAGTATTCTTTTCTATGCTTTATTTAATACTCCCTTTACAAAACCCTCTCTCCCTCGCTTCCTCGACTCCCATGTGTTTTCCCCCACGTGACCGTTACGTCACGAACACTACAATTACCTTTTTGGCAACCATCATTTATCATGAATAATATGCTAAATATGATCAAGATTGTCATAATGAAAATTATGGTTGCCATGGTAACCATCATATATCATTAATAATATGCTAAATATGATCAAGATCATCATAATGAAAATTATGGTTGCCATGGCAAATATCATTTATCATGAATAATATGCTAAATATGATCAAGATCATCATAATGAAAATCATAGTTGCCATGGTAACTATCATTTATCATGAATAATATGCTAAATATGATCAAGATCATCATAATAAAAATTATAGTTGCCATGGCAAATATCATTTATCATGAATAATATGCTAAATATGATCAAGATCATCATAATGAAAATCATAGTTGCCATGGTAACCATCATTTGTCATGAATAATATGATCAAGATCATCATAATGATCATCATGGTTGAAATTGCAACCATAATTTATTATGATTAATATGTTAATTTTGATCATTATCATCAAAATGATGATAATTCATGCCATCGCCACCTATCATTTATCATGATAAATATGCTAAATATCATCAAGATCATCATAATGAAAATCGTAGTTGCAATGGTAACCATCATTTATCATGAATAATATGCTAAATATGATCAAGATCATAATAATGAAAATTATAGTTGCCATGGTAACCATCATTTATCATGAATAATATGCTAAATATAATCAAGATCAGCATAATGAAAAATATGGTTGCCATGGTAACCATAATTCATAATGAATACTATGTTAATTTTGATCATTATCATCAAAATGATGATAATGGTTGCCATTGCAACCATCAATTATCATGAATAATATGCTAAATATGATCCAGATCATCATAATGAAAATTATGACTTCCTTAGCAACCATCATTTATCATGAATAATATGCTAAATATGATCAAGATTATCATAATGAAAATTATGGTTGCCATGGTAACCATAATATATCATGAATAATATGCTAAATATGATCAAGATCATCATAATGAAAATTATGGTTGCCATGGCAAATATCATTTATCATGAATAATATGCTAAATATGATCAAGATCATCATAATGAAAATCATAGTTGCCATGGTAACTATCATTTATCATGAATAATATGCTAAATATGATCAAGATCATCATAATAAAAATTATGGTTGCCATGGCAAATATCATTTATCATGAATAATATGCTAAATATGATCAAGATCATCATAATGAATATCATAGTTGCCATGGTAACCATCATTTGTCATGAATAATATGATCAAGATCATCATAATGATCATCATGGTTGAAATTGCAACCATAATTTATTATGATTAATATGTTAATTTTGATCATTTTCATCAAAATGATGATAATGGTTGCCATGGCAACCATAATTTATCATGCATAATATGCTAAATATGATCAAGATCATCATAATATGTTAATATAGACCATTATCATCAAAATGATGATAATGGTTGCCATGGTAACCATCATTTATCATGAATACTATGCTAAATATGATCAAGAAAATCAAAATGAAAATTATAGTTGCCATGGTAACCATCATTTATCATGAATAATATGCTAAATATGATCAAGATCATCCTACTGAAAATTATGGTTGCCATTGTAACCATCATATATCATTAATAATATGCTAAATATGATCAAGATCATCCTAATGAAAATTATGGTTGCCATGGCAAATATCATTTATCATGAATAATATGCTAAATATGATCAAGATCATCATAATGAAAATCATAGTTGCCATGGTAACTATCATTTATCATGAATAATATGCTAAATATGATCAAGATCATCATAATAAAAATTATGGTTGCTATGGCAAATATCATTTATCATGAATAATATGCTAAATATGATCAAGATCATCATAATGAAAATCATAGTTGCTATGGTAACCATCATTTGTCATGAATAATATGATCAAGATCATCATAATGACCATCATGGTTGAAATTGCAACCATAATTTATTATGATTAATATGTTAATTTTGATCATTATCATCAAAATGATGATAATTCTTGCCATCGCCACCTATCATTTATCATGATAAATATGCTAAATATTATCAAGATCATCATAATGAAAATCATAGTTGCAATGGTAAGCATCATTTATCATGAATAATATGCTAAATATGATCAAGATCATCATAATGAAAATTATAGTTGCCATGGTAACCATCATTTATCATGAATAATATGCTAAATATAATCAAGATCAGCATAATGAAAAATATGGTTGCCATGGTAACCATAATTCATAATGAATACTATGTTAATTTTGATCATTATCATCAAAATGATGATAATGGTTGCCATTGCAACCATCAATTATCATGAATAATATGCTAAATATGATCCAGATCATCATAATGAAAATTATGACTTCCTTAGCAACCATCATTTATCATGAATAATATGCTAAATATGATCAAGACTATCATAATGAAAATTATAATTGCCATGGTAACCATAATATATCATGAATAATATGCTAAATATGTTCAAGATCATCATAATGAAAATTATGGTTGCCATGGCAAATATCATTTATCATGAATAATATGCTAAATATGATCAAGATCATCATAATGAGAATCATAGTTGCCATGGTAACTATCATTTATCATGAATAATATGCTAAATATGATCAAGATCATCATAATAAAAATTATGGTTGCCATGGCAAATATCATTTATCATGAATAATATGCTAAATATGATCAAGATCATCATAATGAATATCATAGTTGCCATGGTAACCATCATTTGTCATGAATAATATGATCAAGATCATCATAATGATCATCATGGTTGAAATTGCAACCATAATTTATTATGATTAATATGTTAATTTTGATCATTATCATCAAAATGATGATAATGGTTGCCATGGCAACCATAATTTATCATGCATAATATGCTAAATATGATCAAGATCATCATAATGAAAATCATACTTGCAATGGTAACCATCATTTATCATGAATAATATGCTAAATATGATCAAGATCATCATAATGAAAATTATAGTTGCCATGGTAACCATCATTTATCATGAATAATATGCTAAATATAATCAAGATCAGCATAATGAAAAATATGGTTGCCATGGTAACCATAATTCATAATGAATACTATGTTAATTTTGATCATTATCATCAAAATGATGATAATGGTTGCCATTGCAACCATCAATTATCATGAATAATATGCTAAATATGATCCAGATCATCATAATGAAAATTATGACTTCCTTAGCAACCATCATTTATCATGAATAATATGCTAAATATGATCAAGACTATCATAATGAAAATTATAATTGCCATGGTAACCATAATATATCATGAATAATATGCTAAATATGTTCAAGATCATCATAATGAAAATTATGGTTGCCATGGCAAATATCATTTATCATGAATAATATGCTAAATATGATCAAGATCATCATAATGAGAATCATAGTTGCCATGGTAACTATCATTTATCATGAATAATATGCTAAATATGATCAAGATCATCATAATAAAAATTATGGTTGCCATGGCAAATATCATTTATCATGAATAATATGCTAAATATGATCAAGATCATCATAATGAATATCATAGTTGCCATGGTAACCATCATTTGTCATGAATAATATGATCAAGATCATCATAATGATCATCATGGTTGAAATTGCAACCATAATTTATTATGATTAATATGTTAATTTTGATCATTATCATCAAAATGATGATAATTCTTGCCATCGCCACCTATCATTTATCATGATAAATATGCTAAATATTATCAAGATCATCATAATGAAAATCATACTTGCAATGGTAACCATCATTTATCATGAATAATATGCTAAATATGATCAAGATCATCATAATGAAAATTATAGTTGCCATGGTAACCATCATTTATCATGAATAATATGCTAAATATAATCAAGATCAGCATAATGAAAAATATGGTTGCCATGGTAACCATAATTCATAATGAATACTATGTTAATTTTGATCATTATCATCAAAATGATGATAATGGTTGCCATTGCAACCATCAATTATCATGAATAATATGCTAAATATGATCCAGATCATCATAATGAAAATTATGACTTCCTTAGCAACCATCATTTATCATGAATAATATGCTAAATATGATCAAGATTATCATAATGAAAATTATGGTTGCCATGGTAACCATAATATATCATGAATAATATGCTAAATATGATCAAGATCATCATAATGAAAATTATGGTTGCCATGGCAAATATCATTTATCATGAATAATATGCTAAATATAATCAAGATCATCATAATGAGAATCATAGTTGCCATGGTAACTATCATTTATCATGAATAATATGCTAAATATGATCAAGATCATCATAATAAAAATTATGGTTGCCATGGCAAATATCATTTATCATGAATAATATGCTAAATATGATCAAGATCATCATAATGAATATCATAGTTGGCATGGTAACCATCATTTGTCATGAATAATATGATCAAGATCATCATAATGATCATCCTGGTTGAAATTGCAACCATAATTTATTATGATTAATATGTTAATTTTGATCATTATCATCAAAATGATGATAATGGTTGCCATGGCAACCATAATTTATCATGCATAATATGCTAAATATGATCAAGATCATCATAATGAAAATCATAGTTGCAATGGTAACCATCATTTATCATGAATAATATGCTAAATATGATCAAGATCATCATAATGAAAATT